GAAGGGAAAGAGGCAGTGAGGGAAGAAATCAATGCCTTTCACCAATGTTATCTGCCAAATTGAATTAAGCAGCATGGGATCCCGGCTTTGTACACGATGAGAGTCGGAGCTTAAAGAATCTGTTTACAGCAAGCACGGATCATGGGCAGGGCAGGTGAGGGAGCCACACTTGGCTTCTGCTGACCTGCAATTTCTTGGGCAGCCCAAACACCCAGTAACGTCCGTGGGGCTAGGGTGGGCAGAAGGAGTCCAGAACATAATGTACAGAACACTTAACCTCATAGCACCAGTTCCAGTTGTGAACCTTGTGTCTTCTGGGGTCTTAACGTGTCATTCCACGCTCCTTCTCTTTTTATGTGTAGCACAAAGTATCCCATCGCTCACCGTGTTCTGATTTTCATGTGTGGAGTATTGTAGGGAAAGCAACTCCAGCGATGGAAGCAGAGGTGCAGCAGCTGCACACTTCAGTGGCAGTACGAGCAAAGCTCCACTGCCTACAGACGTGTGTGGTGAGCCTTCTGGCAGTGCACTGATGCAACAGAGAACGTAATCCAGGACTGGTATTTACTGAAAGTCAACAGGTCTTGAATTCAAGGGCAAGGACGCAGCCTACAGATGGTGTTTTATTCTTTGTTTGTGCTCGGTTGCTTGCTTGTTGTTTGTTTGTTTGTTTGTTTTTGGTGTGAAAGGAAATGCCACATATTGTTGTGGGCTCTGGTGTTCTGCGTTCATTAGTTTGTCACTTCACTTACCTTATGGGTTGGGAAGGTAACTGAAATGAATTCTGTGTGTCTTCACAGAACGTCGTACTGGTTCCCTGTTTTGCAAAGCAGTGTTGAAGTCCAAGACACAGACTGAGGAGTGCTTAACAACGTCAACGTTTTTCCTGAGGTAATGATCACTTGGACTCATAGTTCTTAAGGCATTTATAGAAATAAGCAGATTTTTTAACAAATCTGACCTTTGCAGCCATAAAACCTATTTTTTTCCTTTGATCCATGTAGGTTAGCTACCTTTTCTGAGGTTTCCTCTTGCCCTGCCCATTGTTGTTTTGTTGTTGGTTTTTTTTTTTTTTTTTTTTTTTTTTTTAAAGGTTCATACCTATGGGACATACAAGACTAGAGCTTTGTGATAAGTGCTTTGTGATAGAAGGGCCAGAGGACTGAGATGGCTGGGTCGGAACAGGCTCAGGGGAAGTATTTAAAAGCACGAAATTCTCAAGCTTGCAGATTAAGGACCTGACTCAGCAGACAACAAATACAAAAGTAAATCCAAAAAGATGAGCCAGATAACCCACAGATACTGTACAGAACAATTCAACTAAATCAGTTCAGTGCAGAGAGCTGTGGAAACTTTTTTTTCCTCCCAAATACAAGTCTGTGGGAATTTGCATTGCAGTCAGGTATACTTAAAGTGCACATAAGCCATCTAATAAAAATTCCACTGGAGTGTATGTCATACATCTGGGTTTTATTATATTTGTGCTCTCTTCCCACTGACAGTGCCTTTATAACTGGATTACTCACATATCATCATTAACTGTGACACTCCTGGGTTTTTACTGCTTCCCTGGTTCCTATCATCTTCTGCAAGTTTTATCCCTTCCTTGCAGATGTGCCAAGATGTATTTCTTTAATATCTTTTCAGCAAATGAACATGGGAGCACATAAAAAGTGTGGCTTGGATAGCACGGGCAGTAACGAGGGCTCTCATCATTTCTACCAAACTCTGTATCAAACTTCCACCCCACTATGCACGCATTAAGGTTTCCCTTTGCTCCATGCAAGGTATAAATAATGCTGTTCAGAATTATCAATCCAAATCTGGTTTTATACTTTGTTTCTGTAATGGAGTAGCAGGAAAATCAGTTGCTTTGACAAGTAACACCAGGAGAGATGGCTGATCTCGTTGGTGTGTAGCTCTGCTTCAGGCAGCCAGGTTCCTCGAATGGTAACAAGTGCTCTGTGACTTAATAAAATGTGTTAGATAATAAGATCTACTACAGAACTACCTCCACGAAACAGACTAAGTCATTTTCCATTAACTCATATTGTTATTGAGCAAGCAATCCCAATGAATTTGCTTCATTTTCCCTTTCTCACTATCTGTATTTTGCCCTGTATTGTAGAGACCAGTCTTGCTCTGGTTCTTATGTGCAAGCGTAAGCATGTAAGCTGGTTCTTATCTCAAGCGATATGTGGATGAAATGTTGCAAAGGTCCTTGCTACCCCTTGAACTGTTGCATGGATAGGGGCACATTCCCAAAAGGAATATGCAAGGAAAGTGGAGTAAAAGAAAAGCTTTTCAGGAGTGACAGTGAGCATTTTGAACACCTCAGTTTCTTGCTGCCCAGCAAGAAACTCTGACAGGCACCTAACTTAATGGCTTTGGAAAATATGATTCTTCTCAGTATGTTCCCAGTTGTCTGTTCAGACTCAAACCACTTCTGAACACCTAATTTACAATGTCAAATTAAACTGGCATCCTTGATACACAGCTGTAGCTGGCAAATAGAAGTTTTTGTTTTTTCCTATGATTTTCATTTCTATATATAAGCAAGTTAGTAAAAAAGAAAAGAAAAAAGAAAAAAAAAGAATAATTGTGGTTTTGTGTGTTTGTTTTTTGGGCTGGGTCGAGTGCCAAAATTCACCTTTAGCTCTGTGGGCATGTCATAGTCATCTTAAGTATCCATCTTCCATCCAAAAGACTTGAGCACAGGAGAGTGGAGGAGGCAAATGAAATATGCAGGTTTTTGCTTCATGTGTTTGTGCCTGTAATCTAGGTCAGTAAAATGAAAGCTCCTAGAATACAGAGTAGCCAGATAAATTTGGGAGAGCTGCACAGGGACAGTCCAAGAATAAGGAAGGTGTCCAATAGGGCTGGAGACAGACATCTGAGATTTCCGTATGTGAGGCCAAGCCTTTTTTCCAAGTTAGCCTCAGCTAACTTCAGAAAGAAACTAAAACAAACAAGGTTTGCTCCCAAGTTCATTTGAAAACTGCGTTAAGTAAATGCTATGCCTTATCTGCGTTGGCAACCTAGCACTAACCCAGGACTGGTACAGATGCAGTTCTGTCTATAGTAACAAAAATACAACCCGTTCTCATAGGGGAATCATTCTCCCACCAGCAAGGGCTTCTGTGGTCCAAAACATTGCCCCACAGCAAAACTGCTTTAGCACTGGGTGTTAGGTGAGCTTGAAGCCATTTTCTTGGTTTGGAAAATGCTGTGTCTTGACTTTATTGCCCTGCATGATCATTTTGAAGTGTTCTTTAGCAGTGTAGTAGAATCCTTTTAATCTGTGGCTATGTGAATTTAGGTTAATCTACTGATTTGCAATACGATGGTAAATGAGACTGAGGTTTGTCACCATGTTCCTAAAGGAAGGAATTTTACTATTATTTCTTGTGAAGAAAATGAGCTGGTGAGCTCTATAAGGAGCTGGGAGTATGATTGCTGGGTATGCCCACTGCTAATATCCAGGTGGTAGAAACAGGAAATAAACCAACACCTTAGAAAACAAGGCTGGATGAGTCAGAAATAAGTAGATTTTTTAAAGCTCTGTTTGATCATTCTCTGGCTTTTCCACTGTTTTACAAGGGCACATTAAGAAATGTACCAGAGCTGTGGAAATTCTGCAGCCATTTCTCAGAAAACCATGAGAGAATTACTTTAACATATGTTTCCATCTCCTGCTTTTTGCATTTTTCCCCTGTTGTATTTCTTTTTCTTTGACCTGGTACAAACTTTTATATGCTTACACGTCTCACTATTCAAAAGAAATTTGACTTAATTCATTGTTAAAATTTCCCCATGAAGAGGTACGCATCATTTCCAATTAAATTCCTTTCTCCTTACAATAGTCACATGCAGACCTGAAAACAATTGTCTGTTTAAATGATGCCTTAAGACGCCTCATTACTAGTCTGGCTGGGAAACAACATGAAGAAGGTGCCGTGTTTTTAATGCCCAGCCGCAGGTTGGTTGTGTGCCTGAGAACGTTGAAGGCAGTAAAAGTTGGATTTTTTTTGGTGTGCCAGAAGAGATAAACCATGGCAGGAAATGTGAACTTCCTTCCAACATCTAAGACAATTTAATACTACTTCCATCTATAGGCAAAATGTTTTTTGTTGGTTTTAGGGGGTGTGTGGGTGTGCATTTAGCAGATGAATACGTGGCTAAGTTGCATGATCTCAAAACTGGAATGTAGGAACTTGGCTTGCATGCTAAAATGGGTTAGCTATATTTTATAGGATATGACTACATGCAGGCAGCAAATACACATAGAGTATTATTAGCACGTAATAATAAAGTGTTCTGTCATCAGACTTGAGAGGTGGCACATGTCACGTGGCGACATCTGGCCGATGTTAGTCACAAGGTTTCTCTCTGTTCCTACATAGCTACGTAAGAGTGGCCCCACGCAACACCCCCAGAGGGAAGCCTGTGGAGGAAAAGCAGAGGGCGGCTGCGGCAGCTCAGCCCTGAGCGCTTCCACGCCTCCGTCACCACCAGGCTGCAGCTGGCAGAGCCAAGTGCCCAGCCTTAGGGGTCTCGAGGAGGTCCCAGTGTCCCGAGTCCACCACCCGTGGCCTCGTGGTCAGTTGCCATCACCGATGGCATTGCAGATGCCGAGCACCTTTTTCCTCTGCAGGGTTTAAGCTGTTCTTGGAAGAACGTGCAGCTGGCACTGGCAGCTTCCCAGCAGCGAAGCAAGGCAGGGTTTGGTATTAGTGCTGTTTCCTCTGTTGGTGCTTTAGGTAAATACACTCATGTCACCTGGGAAATTAACTCAAGGGAAATGAGTACAAATTAGCTACCTGTGTGCACATGCAGAGCAGAATTTCTGTTAGCTTGCGGTGTTTAAATTCAAATACTTTGAGAAGTCTTGACTTTTCAAACAGAGGCACCAAGCACCTTTTCATATACCTGTGAGGTCTCTGGCATTTGCCTGTCCTGAACAATTAGGGCACAGCTGCAAGCATAGAAAACTCAAAAACCATAGCATATCTATTTATTTTTTTCTGGACAAACAATTTTATTTTAGGTAATGCGTCTATACACTGTACATTCAGTCACTGTGGTATATAAGCATAGCTATTTTCATACATAATCTCATAAAGTCCTTTATTTTACAATATTATCTGCTTCAAGGGGAGGGGATGTGGAAAAGGGAGTGGAAAAGGACTATCAAGGTACACAGCGAAATAGATAAATATGCCAAGCTTTTTTCTTATTTTTTTAAATCAGGCATTTATAAACAAGAAAGCATACATTACTTACATAAAAATAGTTCTAGAATAGTAGAGTAAGTCATAATATTGTCATTAGCAGCAGCATAGGAGAGACCAGGATAACAAAAATGTGCTGAAATGCTATTGGCTATTATAAATGTAAAGATTTATTTTTCTTCAATTGAAAAAATGTCATTTCTGTGATTTCTTTTGATTAAAAAATGAACAACAAAAAGAAAAACAACAAAAAACAAACCAACAAAAAACTTCTTTCTAAAACACCTGGACTGATGAGAGGGCAGAATGGAAAGAAAAATCAGCCTTTTGGTAATAAAATACTTTACAGTGAAAATATGGACAAATAAAATGCAAATGATGGAGAAAGGTTAACCCACATTTAAACCTTGCAAAAAGATTTTTTTGTTTTGTTTTTCCTAACAGACAGCAAAGATTCGTCTTAGTTAAAAACACAACTCATAAAACAAGACAACTACCAGGTAAGAAAGAGTTTTGAAAAAGTAAACACCATATACACTTATAATACAACAGTGTAAAATGAAAAAAAGTATTTACATGTTGAATTTACTGTTAACTTTTTTTTTTTTTTACATTGGCTAGTTCTGTTTGAAAAGCAGAATATTATGTTATACTAGTTAGCTGCTCCATAGATATGAATGTTATTGCTGTTGTTTTTTTTCCCTTCGTTAAGTCTTCTTTCAGTAATAGAAACGATGAGTAATTAAACTGAATATACAAGTAATATATTTTTTAAGTACAGGGAGAGTCAACAGCCTGTATGAAACACCTCTTCTCCCTTTTAACTTCTTAAAGGAAACTAAAGAGCAAATGAAATGAGAAGATACGACTTTACAATTCCTACACTCACAGGTTGGAGTGCAACTGGAATGCAGCAGGGACTCAACAGTAAGTCGAAAGAAGAGCAATTCCATCTGAAAGGGCTAACAAGTGTTTTACTGAAGTGTAGCAGACACAGAAATTACACACAGAACTCCCTCACCTCAAGCACCTTCACAGAATTTTTCCTCTAAAGATTCCCACCTTTTCGACAGATATTTTCTAGAATTAGTGTCTCTATGGCTTTATGCTGGGAAAATTATTTTAAAATAAATTACGTGCACAGAAATTCTGAATTAAAAATAAATTATATATTCTGCAGAAATAATAAAGATTTTGTTGTTAACATATACTTAGGAAAGTCACAAAATGGTTTAAGACGGATTCCTATCCTGTGAAACTCTCCTGTCAATTCACTGCTGGTGTAGAAGGTTTTAACCAGTTTTCTTGCACCTTTTTTAATCACATTGACTATTAAACCTTAATTTACAGAGACATGTTTTACTAGGATGTTTCCACTCATCTGTTGTACTTAGTAGAATTATCACAATGCATGGCAAAAGAAGAAAAAACAGTTTTATAACAATGGTAAGTAACTTCATTTTGGAAAAATTTTTCCTGAAATGTCTCAACCCATTTATGTGTGACACAGAGGTGGTGGTTGTTTGACAGTTAAAAGAACAGTAAATAGTCTTAGCAATTCTATTTTCTTATTGAAAAAAAATGCAGAATTCATTTTGGAGGATAAAAGCATCATATGCACAGAAGAAACTGAGACAGCGAGTAAGTACACTCCCTCAGCCACATGAAAGAACAACTATGTTGTGCCACAGGTAAGGGGGCTGCGTCTGTTAAAAATCAACAACAAATGGAGCTGGACGTGCTGCCATTGTTTGTTGAGTTGTAAGGGGAGAGACACAATCAAAGGTCGCGGGAAAAATGAACACCATTAAAAAAGACAGGTTTCAAGGAAGCTGACAGTGCGTGTGGGAATAGATTTGTTCTGTGTGTAATTTCTTAACATGGCAGTAAAACGTAGCAAATAGGAGACTTGAAATGCACAATGATCAACTAAAGCTAAAATTGTTTAGTTTCCCTTGAAGAAATAAGTGAATAATACAAATCTGGAAATCATAAGGCTGAGAACATTTTTTATGCATACTGCATAACAAAATAAACCCTTTACATAAGACAGTAATAATGCCCATTAATGAATATACGTATGGCAGAGATTTTAATTCCATGCATATGATTTAATAATCGCAGAAAAAAAAACATACAAAGAACCAAAAAAGAAAAAAAAATCCCACATTAAAAAAACAACACTGCCTAAGCATAATCAAAAATCCTTTTGCATTGCACTTTAGAGGAGGAGATCTGCATCTAGCCTCAGTCTCCAGCATCGCAAACACACAGGGCAAGCCCTGTATAAACGGACAGGTTCACGTAATTTACTTGGTGTAACTGTTTCTTGCTCCCGACAGTTCTACATTGTCCCAGTAATCCTACGCCTTTCATATTTCGTCTTTTTGTACCTAAAACATATATATGAACTTCTTTGTTAATGCTCACAGTTATTATAATGGTTATTATAATGGTTTCAAGCAAACAGCTCTTGTTTAAATAATAAAAAAAAACACCTCTAATGTACTGTAAGTAAATAAATACTGTAATTTTAGGATTGGAAGCCGCTTTCTGTCTACTGGGAAATAATTTTTAAACTTACATAGTTTGTATTAATGTCCAAAAGCAAATAAAGATTACTGGAAATACATTTATTTGTTTAGAATAACTTCTGGGTATGATGATGCATAGGGTTTTATATTTTTTTGTTTTTCTTTTTATTCCTTAAGGTTAACAAAAAAAAAAAGTGTCAGCATTGCCTATATAAGATGCTGAGAGGAAAAATGAGCTGGAAGGCACATCTGCAGCCCCAGATCAAATTTTCACTTTATGCTGATAAGCTCGAGTATGTAAGAGGTGAGTGTTTATGGGTGAAAATAACTTGTCTCTTGTTCGGTAAAGCACCAACTTTATTTGATAAGCACTTCTGGGAGCATCTCTGCTGCTTCCCAACTGCTGTTACACGGCCATGCAAAACAGGTTTAAAATGCAACCAGTAGTGCACTGGTCTGGTGGTTTTGTATTTGGTGGCATTCCGGACCTGCTGAGCACGTGCTTTGCATAAATGTAGATAATGATGCGAGGTGTCACGTGCTGGAAAATCGTGTGGATGATGTTAACATCTGCAGGGTAGAATCTAGAATGCTTAACTTGTAAACGTTCAAAATATGGAATAAAATGCAGAGTAAGATTCTGACAAAGTGCAGTTTAAAAAAAATATTAACAACAACGACAACAATAACAATAATAATAAGACAAAGTGATGGCATGCTGCATTTTTATTCCGGGGCTGCGGCTTGGATCCCAAAATTAAAGTAATTTCTTTTTTTAAAAACAAAAGTTTTTCTTTTAAAAAAGATGTAGGCTTATTCACAGCAGCAAAAATGTTGTTTCTTTTCTGTAGTATCCAATAATGCAATGTTGCACTCTCCTTGGGCACAGAAATCCTGACAAACAGTTCAGAATAAAAGCAGGTAAATACTGAATTTTATGGTAAGATGGTGCAACAAAGATGAGTTTTCCAGAAAACTGAAAGCTGAAGTAAAGATTTCAGAATGACTTCAAAACACGTGTCTTCTGCTTTATTTCTCAACCGACTTAACAGATCATCCATTTCCTTCCTTTATTTCCTTCTTTCTTTTCCTAAAGCTGAAGTGGCTCTTGGATGAAGTGAGTCTTTGAACACATCAATTAATGAAGATGTCTTTAGAAAATATGGCATGATTTGCAAACACTGAAGTCTGTAAGGCTGGGTTTGTAATTCTAAAGCATACATCTTCTCTTCCCGCCCTCCCCCCCCCACCCTTACAATCCTGCATCTTCCTTTCTTCTTGTGTTCAGGACAGGAAATGAAGGTAATTGTTTCTAAGGAAAAATATCAACTCGGAAAAGCACTCTGAAGTTCTCATACAAGCACAGGACAGGATTAAAACTGTGATGGCTTCCTAGATGGCTGGAAAACTGCTAATGAAATGGCATCATCACCAGAGGGCTTCTACATGAAGAATCCCAAAGCCTTTAACAAGTCATTAAAAATTGTGCATCGAAGGTTTTTTGTTTTGCTTTCAAAGGTTCATTATAAAAAATCTTGTTAATTTTTTAATACCAAGTCTGTGTAATGAATTATTTTAAATAGCTTATAACAAAAGTTTGTTTTTAAATTCCAAAATGTTCCAACAGGCAGAAGGGCAACATAAAAACACTGCCATGCTTGACTTTCACTCTGATTTTAGTTGGACGATGCTGCTTGCTTGGAGTTTGCCAGTAGAAAATTTGCTGTGGACTTAAAAGTATTTTGTTTATAAACACTTTGTGTTTTATAGGCACAGTAAGATGTTGTGCTATATGGATTGGAAAAAAAAAAAAAGAGGTGTAATTCAGTGCTTCTGTTATAAAGAGTAACGTTTGCCTTCCAACTAATAAGAATCCATATTCATAGCTCTGTGTGCTAAGACACAACTACTCACACATGCACTTACACACGTACCCACACATCCTCCCTTACTGTGCATATATGTCATTCTGTAGAGGAAATAGACGATGCGCTGTCTAGTTAGTTCTCAGTGTTGCTCGTTGTGTTTTCACTGGTGGGTTGACTGCTTGATTTAGGCCACAGCTGTTCCTGAAGTTCCTTGACTACTTTTTCCAAGTGTTCTCGAGCCTCCCTCTCATGCATCAGGTCAGCTCGGAGCTGCTCCCTGTCCGCCTCTGCATGCTGAAGCTTAACCTGTAGGTCCTCAATCTAGAGAAAAGCATATGAAGAAACAAAATGAATGACTCCAGCATTTCAGTTCAATTGTAATTTTGTAGACTTAAACACAGACTAGTAGCTTAAACAAGGCCAAAAGAATAATAAAGCCCTGTAGTGTCTGCCGGACAGAAGACTATCAGCACTGAGGTGAGGAGGGGATTCTCTTTTCCCCATGTTATTTCCATGCAGGACTGTACCATTAGCCATGTGCATTACATGAACCGTTTACCTTAGAAATGATAAAATATTTCTGGTGGCTAACTCCAGAAAGGAAGGAGAGGGGTTTAAGATGAAAACATATTTAAGAATACCTTAGTTTCCTAGAAGTCTGATCGATACGTCTTCAACCATTACTCTTATTTCTTTATCAGACACCAATTCAGCAAAGTAAAGTAGAAGCTAAATTTGCCCAGGCAGTGACTTACTTTCAGCTATTTTATAATGGTTAATAAAAGTGACCAAAACATTCTTGGCTGCCTATGTAAAAGACCCTTGCATCAGCCCTATAATGTCCAACAAAAACAAGTGTAATGTCCTCCCGCGACCAGGACCCCTCTCATCTCCCAGAGTAAATGTGAGGGACTGCAACGAGGCAAGATGGCCCCATGGCACCTTACTAATTTTGACTAAAATTTGCACTGTTTCAGTTCAGCCATACACAGCTGAACTTTTAGGGTAGGCATGGGGTAGAACGCGTCCTAACGTGCAGTAACTTCACACAGACAAGGCCTCAAAGAACTCCCTGTTCCCAAGACCTTTAGACGGGGTCGTTGGTGAGCTCTCACAGCCCTGTTCCACCTCACAACAGGACATGCAGACACCCTCAGCCTCCCCACAGGCCTCAGAAGGAAAGCTTCTTGGTTGTTGCTTACTGATAACAAAGGCAGAGAAAAGCCCCAGTACTGAGGGATGAATAAACACAAAGAAAAAAAGGCATCTTTTTGAAATACACAATTTTAGGCCACCAACAGGTAAGATGGGCAGTTACCAGGAGCTGCCATTTAACAAAAGAAAGGAAAACTCTTGTGTTTTGGGCTAAAATGAAGGCTTCCCTACCCCCCCATCCCTATTTGGATCTTAGTGTCAAGACAAAATGAGCACGAGGCCTAACCCACAGCACTGCTCAATTACAAGTCACCAGCTAACAGGTTCAGCTTGCACAAAGTCTGAATTTAATGCCTTATTTCCTCGCCTGCCTGACACTGTGTGTCCCAGACTAAGCCTGTCTGAAGAATTGTGGTTTCCTCAAAAGTACGAACAAGTGACAAGCACAATACAACTAAGTGACAAACTTCCTGTATGCATTTGCCAAAGTAGAGTTAAGAGAAACTGATGTACAAAGCTGTATTTTAAAATTTCTAACACAACTTTGGAAGTCATACTGACATCTGGTAAAATTCAGTCATTGAAGTTAGTTACCTATGGTATTTTTCTATGAAGAGCCATGCAGAACTCTGAGGAAGCTGCTCAGTAATGTGTTTATTCCAGACCCTGAACCATTAGGTGCCCTCTAATATTTTGCTCAAGCACAGCACTGCTTTATCTTGCCTGCCTGCACTGTACTCTGGTGCTAGGACAGGCAGTGACAGACATCCAACAGGACCCTGCAGGCAATATTGCAAATATGCCTGGTCCTTAGGAAAGACAAAACTGCTGCACAGTCAGCTCCTTGAATTCTGGTTTTAGCCTTTTACTTTACTTTTAGCATTTAATCCCACCCAAGGAAGGGGTGAACAGCCCCACTGTCACAGCTTCCATGCCTTTTTCATGCCTCTTTCATTCAGCAAAGGGGGACACACCTGCATGGTTGTGATGCTCTATTCAGAGTGTATGGAGTTCACTTTTATCTGCACTTGTTGTTGCCTTTTTTTTTTTTTGGTTGGTTGTTTTTTTTTTTTTTAGTTAAAGTGGAAGTCAACTGCAGGTAACGCCCAGTACAGCAGCTCTCACTCTGGTTATGTTTAGTCTGGACACCTCTTATCAGTGAGACATCCTGTGATGCTAGAGAGGAAGCCCACATCATTTCCTGCTTCTGGTCTCCTGGTTAGCCATGTCTCATAGTGGTAACAGGCGGACCACTCCCCTTCCCGTTATTGAGAGCCTGGGGTTAGAAGGATTTCTGATTTCTATTGCTTTTCCTTTTTCCTCCTTAAAGTAACCACATCAAGTGTTTGCAGCTTATGCTCTAGGTGTAGCAGCTCCTAACACACGTGTACGTAGCAGCACACGTGGCAGAGCAGCTGCTGTAGTGAGTTCAGGCTACAAGAATTCCCTTTAACATTAATTCAAGTGGTTACACCAGGCAGGTTAATTCCCTTGCAAATGCACGATACCTCTGTGGCATTTGCATCTCTGCCTGCAGGAATTTAAATTTAAGCAAGCAAGCCCCATTTTTCAGAGACCTGTTGCTAACTCTGGCCCATGCCTTATATTACGCATTTCTCAGCCAAGCTTTCAGTTCGGGAACCACTGATGGGGAACCAGTGGTCTGACAGAGGGCTATTTAGGTGGGAACAGGTCAGAGCAAGACTACAGGGGAGGCTGATACAGCAAGGAAAGGAGGCTTAGGAGGAGGAAAGCTTAGGAGGCTTAGGAAAGGAGGAAAGCAAGGAAGGCTGCTTAGGAGCCCCCCTCCACAGAGGAGGTCTGGTTTCAGGGGTTAACAATGGGTATGGGACTGTGCCCTTTTATAGGAAATGCATTACTGGGCAGCTGGGACCGTTTTATTGGAGGAAGGGGAAGGCAGGGCATGCGATGGATTGCTCCTCAGGGCTGTTTCTCACGGAAAGCCAGGAGGCTGCCATCCTGCTCTCAGCTCAGCCTGTTACGCTGGGTCATTTCAGAGGCTTGCAGCAGTGGATGCCTTGCACCCACGTGCCCTGCAACACCAGGGCACAGCAAGGCAGCTTAAGGACACGCAGCCTGAGCTCTGGGGTCACTCGGCTTTGGTTAGTTTAAATAAGCTTAAAAATGTTACATGAGAACCTGATGCAGAGAGGGTGGGGAGGGATTTTTTAGTTTGAAATCCTGAAGTACCCATGTCGCATGTGATGACATGTTCCTGCATTCCTATAACTTTGTCACTGGGCTCACACTGGAGGGTTTCCTAGACCTGACACTTGGTCTTCTTGGGCTGTACGGCCCTAACAGCACTCTGGTCTGGCTGCAGCTTGCTTACTGATGGGCCCTGCCACCTCCTCCTGTCTTGAATAGATCCTGCAGGTCTGGCTTGACCTTTATGAAAAACACTGTCAGGTAAAGTGACTCTGCCTATTATTTATAGTATTGAAATGGATCCCCATATACTGGCATGGCCAACAGAGTGTTAGTGGAACAGAAATCACGTCTGGCACTTGTCTTAGTTCCCTGTAAATGGTGACTTTCAACTGACAGACGTGTGAAGTTCTGGGCAGAGCTGGGCTACTGCCACAGCTGCCGAAGTGCAGGCATGTTAGTAAATCCTGCAATTAGGACTAGGGCTGTAAACCGACACAATGGGGGCACAGAAATTCTATGGAGAGGAGTTGGACTTCATCAAATTAGACAAAATGAGACCACTGGCAACCAAGGCAAAACAGACACTGGAAGTACCCCTGAGAACTGCCGCAGCAGTAAGCTGACATGCCGATAGCTTTCCGCGTTCAGGTCTTACCTGGGCAGAGTACTTGGCCCGAAGCCTGCCTGCTTCACAGCCCTTGTCACAAACTCGGATCTGCCTGGCTTGTTCCAGTTCCCTCTTTAGCCGTATCCGAGACTCGTTGGCTTCCTTCATTTTCTTCTCGTTCTCAGCTCTCAGACGTTCAATCTCTTTCCTTAAGTTGCGCTTCGCCTCTGTTGCTTCTCTCAGTTTCTCCTTCTTAGCCACTCGTAGGAACTCCAGCTCCTAGAAGACACAAGCAGTAAACGTGTGAGAACGGAGGTGCAGGGACCACATTGGTGCAAGGGCACAGAACCACAAAAGGAAGCGATCCCAACTGAAGCCCTCCCTTCTGGTTAACACCATGGCTCATGTCTAAACCTCGTTCTAAACTTTCTGCAAGCTTTTCTCCTGTAAATCAACAGGAGATCCTACGCCCAAGATACATACTCTGAATTCTTGGATAATAAAAAGCTGTGCTGCATTCACATTTTGCTTTGTCAAGCAAAATAGCTGTGACCATCTGTGACTGAATAAAGATGAACTGGAGTTGGAGACAGCTACCAGCAACATGCTGCTGCACACTAGTTCGAGGTTTCAAACAACCCAACTGCAATGCCTGCGCTTCTTGAACTGGAGATGTACCATGTGAAGACAGATGCCATTGGTGGATGCCCTTTGCGCACAGCAAAGCTGAACAGGACAGGTTATTAGATGCTGAAGAAATCGATAAGCAACTCCATCTTAAGAAGCTCCCCAAAAGAACACTTAAGGCAAGTAGGAGAAATCACCACCTGTATATGTTCTTTCTAAGGATACTTGTTCTGCTGTAGGTAAGCGGTGCATAGTCCTAGGTCTCCTGGCAGCCAGCCAGCCAGCACGCTGCTCTGTGACATTTGGGAAACTGCAGGCTAAAACCTTAAGCTAAATCGAAACCATGCTTTGCTCTGGAAAGTGCCGCCTCTCACTGTCCAGGTTCTTAATAGGAACTGCTGCAGTGAAATCCCATCCCCGGGGGAGCCATTAGTGGGAGTGATAATGACAGGGAGACTAACGGGACAAAGGAAGAAACCCCTAAGTTGTTAAAAAGTTTATGTGAAAAGACAGGTTCAACACTATACTTTGAAAAATGTGGCTGACTAAAGGCCTGTCTCCTAAATGGTTAAATTAGAAACTAAAGTTCTTTCTCTCTCTCTTTTTTTTTTTTCCAGAAGCAGCATTTCCTCTCTGTCAGACACAAACCCTCACAGCAGCATGTTTCTGTTAAGTAACACTGCAGTCGGGTCATGGGAAATTCACTCTTTTGACAATCTCACTTCCTAGCCAGGCCATTGTTAGCTCGGCCCTGCCTCTGGAAGCCTGCACACATGTACTTTCTCTGGCCGTGCAACTGGAAACCCACAGCTGCCCAACTGGAAACTGACAGCGATACCACATTCCCTCTCCTTGTGCCATGTTGCTGGATTTAATGCCCCAGTGCTCAGTTCTGCTGCTTCACCACCTACCTCCTATCATTCCTATTTTACTTTGAGTATGTGCTGTTGACTTAGTTAACAAGTTTGACAATTAGCTTTACATATATACACTACATCTAAATGTTTAGCTGTACTTTTAAATAGACAAAATTAAACAAATTTACTGAAACATGACAGAGTGAAGTAATTTCCTCGAGATGACAAAAAGTGCAGCTCAGTTGAAGACAGCTCTCAGCTGCCATTCTCTGGGACTGGGGGCACACAAATCCCATCCCTGAGCCCCTGCCCTTTGCTCTGTTCCCCAGGACCAGGCAGTCTGCACACCCCTGCCTCTGCCCATCTGCACAAGTAGCAGTGTTCTGTCTCCAGGCTCGATGAAGCCGGGCCCTTCTTGTCCCATGGGCACCCCAGGTCCATCTCAAGGCCCACACTTCTCCCTTGGTTACAGCTCCACATACAGTGTTCAAAGGCAAATCTCCTGAACTGGCGCTGTCTGCCATTGCTGTGCAGTAATTTTGCCCTGTGTCAAGTGAAGCAGAAGTTCCCCTGCCATTCTGTTCAGCCACCGTGACTTGCTAACAGCCAGCAGCAGCATGTATTTGCAGCTTTTTTGTCCAACTTCTCTTTCTTTGATGTGACATATCAAGGATTTAGAGAAATAAGGAGCTTCTCTACTCAATGGAACAGGAAACGTTCAGTGAGGCAAGGCCACTGGAAAGCTTAGCAGGACTTGTAGACTCTTCACCAGAGCTTCTGCAAGCATCTCTGTCCCAAGGATACCTTCCCTCCAGCAGCTGGGCAATACCAGGATTTTTAAAAATCTTTTAAACTACAAATAAAGCCTCCATAATGACAGGAATGTTTCTTGTTCAGTAAAATTAAAATAAAATAAACTGTATTGGAATAGAAGATTTCTTCTCAGTAATAGATGTTGATTTTGGTAACCATGGACTTAGACCCTAAAGTAAAAACAGGTGACAAGCTTAAAAAAAATGTAAGAATGATTCCTGCATACTTCAGTTTCCCAGATGAATTTACCAACAGTTCTCCAGTAAAGGCTGTTGCTATTTGGGAAAAATAAGGCATTTTTTTAACCGTGAGACTACCTAATGGTTTCTATCTGGAAGCGTATCTACAGACAGTGATAACAAAGCTATTCTGCGACTTTACCTGATGTAGGCTGCGTTTGGCTTGCAAGGCAGCATTTAGCTTCTCTTCCTGCTTCACTCTCATTTTAACAACTTCATGAAGGAATTTTTCTTTGGCTTCTTTTGTATCTAGGCCACTGTCCAGGGCCTGCCTTAGGTGCTCCAGCTCAGCTTCCAACCCACTGCTGTGAGAGTCAGAATGTGTTGCAACCTCATATGAACTGTTGACTGTGACTGGGGCTTGCATCCCAGGTGAGCTCATGTCCTTTGCAGAGCTGGATGAAGTAAAGGATGGGGAGGAGAGCGAGGATAAGGAGGAGGTGACTGAAAAATAGAAATATCTAAAATTAATCAAAAAATGTATAAAACAAATATAACTTAAAATATGCTGAGGCCCTTTTCTAAAGAAGAGACATTCAATAATTAATGAAAAAATGGAAGAAAGAAAACTCTTATTTTATATTTTGACACCTGGAATGTGATGACAATGCAAACCCGATTAACTTATGGGACCAACTTACAATTTGCCTGAGTTGTGACTTTGGGATTTTTGTCACAAACAGTGTTTTCTCTGTGTGTATAAAGAAACCAGTTCCTTCATGGAAACCTGCGTGAGCCTGATGTTTTCAGTGGGCAAAATTTCTTCTTTTGCATAAACGACACGTAGCAAGTGAGGAAGCCAGCAGCAGCAGTTTCTAAGTGACTTAATAATGAGGTGACGGCAATATCTTCATCTTTCGCTGAGGAGCCCAAGGTGTGAATGCTTTCTAAGAACAAACTGACTCTTGATCTCTGCTTTGTGTATACAGCTCCATGGATGCAGTACTGAAACCGAGCACGTCCTCTGCCTGACGGAAAACTGTGTGTGAGTATGTGCATTCTGGAATTGTTACGGGCTACTCGTGCATATCCCACAAAGGCCTTTATAGAGAGCTCTTGATCAGATAGCAAAGCATCACTATTTTTCTATGAACAACAACCCATTATGTCCGCCTCTGCACAACACTTACCTGCTCTAATGAAAGGCTATCTGCTTTAATGAAAGCCTCCAGGTTTGTGGACACTTGTGGTTCAGGTACTTCTTTTTGTTGAGGCACCTCTGTTCCTCTCCCAAGAAAACACCCCCTCAATATATGTCCCAATCTTATTTTTCATTATTACTACAAACCTTTTTTACATGCTGTGGAGGCACTAGGCTTCCTGCATTCCGTTTAAACACAACCTAAATTTAGTATCTAACTCCGGTGGATTACTAAGGAAAATCCAGCACAAATAAAACAAAAGGAGGTGTAACTGTCACTTACATTCTTCCCTGGTTTCTACTTCAATTTCTGCTTCTGATTCCTTATCCTCTTCAGGGGCAGTAACAGTGGCCACTGGTTCTGGGATAGTCTGGTTCTCTGCAGCAAGTTTTCTTTTCCGCGGCTGGACAGTGCTGCTCAACGGCTCACTGCTCCGCGACACTACTGTGGCACAGGGGGGGTTGCTCACGATTTTCTGTTGGGCTGGAGGTGCAAGTGCCACATTGGGGGCCACAGCATTCTCAAAGCTTTTGTAGGAGTAAAAACTGTTGGAGAGGGGGAGGCAAAAGGAAGGAGAATAGAGTCATATTCTTGGCTTTAAAACACCTCCCAGTCCATGTGCTACACTGAAACTGCAAGACACAAGACACTTACAGGTGACAGTGTGGTACCATCCATTTGCACCAGTTAAGAATCTGGCTATATATTTCTTAAGCGTTATGCACTCACTTAACTGTAGAAATGATTTATACTGCTAATATCCATCCAATTCAGGAGGGATCGTATTTGAAGTACCACGTATTCTAAGGGAACCAAACAGATTAGATCCCAAGTCTAAAAGTTATTATGCTGTTTCCTCACGATCTTCAAGCATTATTGATTTTCCTAGTCAGACTTCTTTAGTTCTGTCTGTCCACAAATATTTTGTAAACTTGGAAACAACACTTCCTTAAGAAAGGCCACAGGAGTGCAAAAAGCATGTTCTCGAGTATCTGTAATTTCTTGACACAGAATGCGTATGAGTGCACGTACGTAAAGTCGCACTTAAAAACAACTATGTTAAAGAAAAGCAATTTGTATTGTCAAATACTCAGAATTTTACAAAGTACAGATCAAAGACTGCCTTTGCAACTTTAATTCAGCATCCACAATATGATGTATCCTCAGTCATACATTAAAACTTCTCTGGAAGCTGTTGAAGGTGTTTTTATCCCAATACTTAGGTTGGCCAAAGGCACACTCTTACACCAGTTTAACCCTTCTCACCCTTCTCTCCTGACCTACTTTAAAAAATCTGTTTAAAAGCAAGGATATGATGGGAAGATTTAAAAAAAAAAAAAAAAGAAGAAAAAAAAATAACAAAAGTCAGTTCCCATAACTTCTAAGAAACTTGTTCATTGGGGCAGCAGAACGTGTTCTCCCTAACACCCACTAAAATACCTGGCCACTTCAGTCAAACTTTCCAAAGAAACCACCACCCTCAGGCAGAAACCTGGCAGGAAGATTTTTCAGGCCGAACAGATTGCCCTGACACTTTCCGCTCTGTGACACCAGCAGCCCCACCTATGGGGGCAATGACTCATTCCTGTACCAGTTTAATCATGTCGCTACTGAAGAGCAGAATCTGGCTAACAGCATCAGCTCTTTGGTGGGTTCTGCAGCCCGAGGACTTTTCCACTGCTGTGCCGTGACCCCCAGGACCACTTCCCACCAGGAGGGCAGGGGTAGCCCGCTGTCCCTTCAGTGCCCTACCCTCCTCTGCTATTGCAGACACAGTTAAGGGCCCAGCCGCAGCTCTGCTGACGGCGTGCTGCCAGGCCCGTGCTGCAGAGCTGCTGCAGCTACCAGGCAGCAGTTGCCTGGAAATGGCTGCCTGGTCCCTGGCCACCTGCCCCAAGAGAATAACTCAATCTTCCTGTAAATAGCGAGGCCTGAGAAATTCTGATGACAACCCCATTATCAAAATTATCAAAAGTTCATAGAAGCAACCTTCGTTTCAGACCTTCATGGCACATTTCACCACAGAAAACCTATTTAATAAATGCACAGAATACCAATTCCTATTTTTGTTTCCTTCCCTTCTGCTAATTAGAACACTGCAGCTGCAAATGCTTTTTATTCTGATACCAGTGGACTGACTGAATTATGAAGCCAGTGGTAACAGTGCGAGGCACCAAACACAAAGCAACTTGCTCTCAAATAAACCTCCACAGTTGCTAGCCCCATCCCTCCTTCAGTTCACCTCTCCTTACCTGTCCCGGATCAACGCAGGAAGATGGCTCGAAAGCTCTTTCTCATTTGCTGATACAGCAGGGGACCAGGGTCGGAAAGCTGAGAGACGCTGACGGGGGTGGACACAGCCAATGCTCTGAGAGAAGGAGGGGAAAGAAAAATGAGTAAATACAAATATTCTTTTAAAAATATTAATCACAAAGGGGCATTAGTTGTTATTATTAAGGCCACATTTCATTACCCCTAAAACTGCTCCTCTACTGGCTAGGACCTACTTGCTTAGCAGGCTCCACTGAAGAGGTGACTGTACCAATGTCAAACACCACTTTTTTTTCTTTGCCAACAAGTTATCTGTGATTTCCAGAGACCACACGAGGCTCCTGAGTCTTTCAGGATTCTTGTACCTCACAGGCATGGAGGAATTGCTTACTTTGTCAACACAATCAAGGGCAGTGAACGCTGGAAGATGGCAAGGAAATTGGGAGGACCGCTTAACTCTATGCTTACCAGGAAAAGGACAGAAATGTTATTAATTTACAAAAGCTGGGCGAGGTCTTTCTCACATTTTCTCTTCTGGTTTTAGTAGAGGGATGTTATATGGGAATTTGATCTCTCTTTTGATTACAAAATACTCAGCAATCACCTTATTAGATGAACTGGATAAGGACCGTAACCAACTGGACTGTTTCTCCTTCTCAGTAGAAGCTGGAGTTTGGGAAGCAGAGTCATCTATTTTGTTTTTTTTGGAAGCAGGAGGATCTGAAGGGACCTGAAACAAAAAGAGTCAAATGTAATTACTCATTTTGCAATCAGCTTAGAACCAGGTTATAAAGCAAAAGCAAAATTTATATTTAAAAGTAAAAATCACTGCACTTTTTTTCTGCATTTTTAAACCTAAGGAACAACAAAAGAGTGAAGACATGGGAGAGGCACAAACTATGACACAACGTGGTTTCATTCCTTCGTTTAGAACACCCAGATAAAGTGTAGGTGGTGCAGGAGTGACACGGAGAAACATAAGTGAGACATTCACACCATGTTGCAGGGAAGTATCTGACTTTTATTATTTTTGTATGCAGAAAGGTAAGTTTTAATGTGGTTGCTGAACTGGAAAGATTATTTTAAACGAGAACAGAACAGACTTTGTTATTCTGTTTGCAGTGGTTGTTATGCCGATGACTTCACTACCCCACAGCTGCAGTGGATTCTGGGGGTGCTGCCAAGAGCTGCTTTGCCTTTTCCACAAGTGGCTCAGCTTGGCCCATAAATCATCCCCAAGCATAAGAAAGCCCTTTGGCAAGCAAAACGCCTTTCCTTCAACACTGTGAAGGAATAAAATTCCTATAGTCCCAGCGTGGCTTACAAAAAAATTGGTAACTACTGGTTTAACTGGTGTGCTGGGGATACCAGCTTGAAGCCCTGCCAGTACAAACATGTCTGTCGGCAGGGAGGGAGAAGGTTCTGGACCTTACTCTGCCAACAAGAGCAGCATACCACCTCCGTTCCTCTTCCTTCTCCTGCCTTTTTTGCAGTTCTGAGCTCGCTGTTTCCATCAGCCTGGTTCTAAGGAAGGTGGCGGAACCACGCTGTGAGTACCAGGAACAGCTTGACTCTGCGCTCGATTGTACAACCCCACAGCTCACTGTGGTTTGGTGGGCAAGTATTTATGCCTGTTTTGCAGACACACCTGAATGGCAACGTTTTGAGAGCTGAAATGCTTCAAAAAGAGGTGTAATCTGTCAGTGAAAGAAAGGATCTTACTTGCCTGTAGCTTGTGTTCTGAAAATCAGCCCCCTTCAGGGCATCTGAACTGGGAACTCAGAGACTGTTTCTGCGAATGGTTTTTCACTTCTGAAAGTCGTGATCCCAGTGACTTTACCTGAAGCATATGCGAGGGACTGAGAGCAGCATTGCTAAATTGCGCTCGTCCAGACTCCCAGCTGACTTCCAGGCAAAGCCAACATCTAGGTAACTAGAGCAACACCGGCCCTTCTGCATACCTTAATTAGCAGGAAATGATGACCTGTCCAAGAACAGCCTGCTGCTCACATGGAGGCAGGGTACGAGTACCAATACCCAGCCAATGCGAGCTCCTTTGGCAGCACGCGGTGCTCTTAGGGCTCCTCCAGCCCCATGTGCATAGTAACAGAATCAAACCAAGGCTGGAGGCATTAGTAAAACATTCCCTGGCACTCTGGAGCTTGGGACAGCTTTCCATATGTAGCAGATGAAATAGTATGACATGGGTGTGTATATGTGTAACTGCAAGTACAAAATTAGCCCGTAGCAGTGCCAAATGCCAGCCTCGGTGGATTTGCAGAGGATTCCTCCGGCACAGCCTCGGGCTTTCTTGGGGTTGACGCTGGTACTGGCTATGGCGTGGTACCTCCCGTCTGACCCAGCTAAGACAAGGCATTCCAAAACACTTTTTGTAGAAATCGCAGGACAATGCATTGGAAAAGGTTTGGTTTTGCTTTCAGAGATGCTGTCTGTGCAGAATTAGTGACAGCATGAGAAAAGTATTTGGCAAGTGACTCCTGATCCCAGCCCTATCCACTGGGGATGGTGAGCAGTGTGGGGAGGGGAGCCCGGGCGGAGGGTGGGGAAGAAGGGGCTTGGAATGAAAAAGGCAGCAGGTGGCAAGGCTCAGTGTGGAGACCCCTTCCTGCCCCGAGCAGCACTGCCCGCGGAGCAGCCGCCCCGATGCTGCCCCTCCAGCGCCACGCACCCAGCGTGAGCTGGACCCAAACCCCGGGGCAAGTGCAAATCCGAGCAGCCTTGGGAGAGGAGAGCAAAGTGCCTGGTTCTGAAAGGGCTGGGGGAGAGGTTTAACGAGAAAGATCTCATTTGCACTTTAAAGAAATCAAGTCTCCTCTCCAGCTTCCTCCACTGTCCCCCTTCTTTTCCCTGAAGTCGAAGCCGACATCCCAGGCGCAGGAGGGCTCTGAGCACAAAACCCATCAGCAGACAAGGGAAAGATGCTCGACCTTTTGTTGCCAGGAGCCAGGATTGACCTGAAAACATGAGATGCTGCAAGAAAACATGCAGTAAACAAGGTGTGTGCATGGGGGGAAAATGGTTTTTCCTTCCCCACAAAGAGATGGGAAGAAGGTGAAAAAAGGGGGAGAGGGAACAGGTGCTGACTGCGGATGCAGGTTTTGTACCTTCAAGTCATCTCCCACCACAGCACTCCAGCATCCCTAATGGGCTGGTGCTGTCTACAGGGGTAAAGCACTTCAGCTGGACTCAAAGGACTTCTGCCAGCATAATTCGTGAACTGCTGGGATGACCTTGGCCTGCTTTCTTTCCATCCCTCTCCCATTTTGTTTATACAGATCTCTGCTGCTTATGGCATGGATTGCCTCTTCCTACGTGCTCAGCAACACCCCTACATAAGAAACAACTTTTGGGTCCCGTTTTAACAATGCAGACATGCAGCACTTCCACCAGTTTTCCCACCTGGTGGAAAACATTCAGAGAATACATGTCATTATGTGTCAAAAAGGGGAGGGTATCTCAGAAACTCCTGAACTGGAAGGGGTCTGGCTACAGCCCGTAGTTATCTGGCGAGTCATCACTCTGGTGTGTTCCTGTCGGCTTGGATATCCCCTCCTGCTGAAAACGCTTCTGTCCCTCTCCCCCAAAATGTTGTGGCTGTGTCATGAACTCATCAAAAACTCCACCTACGAACACCAAAAGCAGGTCAGAGCTGTACTGTACTGCACTCCTGCAAAAGACAGAATTAAGTTGGCTGTAGGAGATACTGAGGGGAGGCACAAGACCACTTCCTGAACACGTCTCTCGCAACTCACCGATTATATCCCATCCGGGTTAGATCCCAGGCAGCAACAAACAGCAAACCCTGCTCTGACACTTCCATCCCAGCCCCAGCCCCAGGAAACCTCGGTACTGGCTCCAGTGTGTATGATTTTCTTTCATTTTCTCTCTTTGACAAATATTGGAATACATGAAGTCGCAAAAGAAATACAGAAAATCTGATGCAACTTTTTTTGCCATCTCTTCATGCATGACTTATCAAAAACCTCAACCCAAACCCTACAAGACTGGAATAAATATTTCCTCATTTCTTCCTCAGTTTTTCTTCCACTGCAGCAACTTAATGACTTGTTATCAAATAGGCTTTGCACTTGGCAAAGCGGTTTGTTAATACACATTTTCTCAAATCCACAGATGTAAGAAACTTCATGACACAAAGTGGGCCCAGAAATATTATGCAAAGCATTTACTTAAGCTTTTGGACCGTTGTTTTCTAAAGCAATTGATATTTGAGGGAAAAAACATACATAGAAAGATTTATAATGTTCCTTGAAAAGGAATCTCAAAGTACGTTCCAAAGGGAAATTTTGGCACGTGAACTTTCATGTCAGCCCTTTTTAGACAAACTGAGACTAAGCAGCCTAATTTGGCCTCTAGCCAAGCAGGGCCACATTTGACATGTCAGATCAAATTTCCCGGCTCAGTTCAGCAGTGGAGTAACAGCACGAGACCAGTGGAAAGGACTTTTGACTCTCTACTTCTCACACAGCCCGGCCCCACAGCACCAGGCTAGCACGGGGCAGGGGGGTGAGAGTCGCTTCTCGTGGCAGAGGACAGAAGATGAGCCCAGAAGAAATCCTTTAATTTTGTGATTTGGGACTGATCATGGAGAATATCCTTGAAGCCTGAGGATCTACCAAACTATGCTTCCTGAAACAATTTGCCTCTTTTCACTACCTTATTTCCACTGCTACGCTGGGCTGATGAGGTGGCTTGAGCCCTTCGCTCCTTCCTCTCCGCTCCGCTGCACCCACCCAGCGCCTGCCGCACCTTTGGGGCGCTCTGTGATGTGAGCAGCTATCCACTAGGGGATAAGCTAAGACCACTACAAGCAGGACAGTGCTCCTGTGGGAAGGAGGCCAAGCACAGGCCCAGTCCTGCAAAATGGTGAAGCCAACGGGACCACTCACAGAACACCATGGGCACTGTGGTGGGGAAGCTTCTGCCTTGTTAAGGGGGGAAAATAGGAGGTGAAGACTTGCCTAGGGAACATAGCTTAGAAATGTAACTTCAGACAAGAAGTCTGTGCTCCACCTTCTGATCTGTCCTCTGGCGATAAAACCTCACCAGAGCTGGGAATAAATTTGGCATCAAATTCCAGAACCTAATTGAAAACACAGAGCTGTGAGGACGGGGAGGAACGGCGCATGTTTATCTGTGTGTGTAACCTTTCCCAGGCTAGGTGTGAACGCATTTCTGCTGCGTGTGGTGATGGGAACGAGTTGGGAGAAGAAGGAGGCCAGGCTTCTGCTCTCCGAATTCAGCGCTGCTGTGCCCTGGGGACCAGGAGCAGGTGCTGAGCCCCGCACAGAGCTGCCGCAATTCCTCCCTGCAGACACTGAGTGTGCTCCGTGCCAGTGCGGAGCAAAGGCTGGGACCTGTGCCCTGGCCCAGTCCCCTCTGTTTAGAGAGGGGCTGGAAAGGTGGTTCCCACACCAGCACAAGTCACAGCGTCCTACGTGGCATCCTTAGAAAGGTTTGTTTCTCCTCCCAATTGGTTTAATGTCCTCCAAGCTACCCCGATACCTAGAACTCCCTATTTCTGTCTCTACAAACACATTTTGGAAGTAGTGGGAAGCTGAAGAACTCAATTTCATCCTCTGGTGTAAATCAGATGTGTCTCCATTGAAAACTGCAGCTAAAAAAGCATGTAAAACCAGAACAGGCAAAATAAAAAATGGGCTCTAAATCTACAGACAGCATAGCAGCGTT